AAAGTTGTCATCTTTAAGTCTCCATACTGTATGTATTGGTAAACAATGCAAACATTTTTTGCGCCAAGGATAAATCCTTACGTAAATGAAGAACTAGAGCTAAATTACTTTGTCCGTTTCACAAAGTTATAATGTTTTCAATCTAAATTTCTATAGACTGGACTTTTATTTTCCATTTTGATTCAATCACTTTGCAAGGTACTGTTCATTTAGGTGCTGTTTCGTGCGTGTGAGCTTGTAATTGTGAACAAAACTGACTGTAACTGGCAACATGTGTTTCTAGACTTCTTGGTCTGTATATGATCTGATACTCTCTAACAATGACAATATGATTGAGAGTATGTGAAAATACACACTGTAACACTGAAATGAATTTCACTGTAGCGCTTCTCACTTTGTTTCCACATCCTAACTTTTTAGCCCCAAAAATGTTGATGAACTTATGATGAACTGTAAGCCATGAGTATCCGAATGTCACACGTTGAGGGATGAATGACCACCTACAGTAACTGCTAATGTTTGATTTCCTCGTGTGACGTGAGCCTGCACAGGTTGTCACTCAGAACAAAATGGTTATTTATGGTTGCACTGTACTGGTATCTAACCTGACTAACATTGTTTTTGGTTTTAATGGGTATTAAGTGTTTTTTACATTTTTAGCACGCCCAGTTAAGCACATTGAGCTACTGTGGCCCAAGAATTACTGAAGTAATTCTAATCCAGGGCCATGTTTCTATTCAAGAAAGGCATCATTTCTGCCTTTCATAGCTGACAAAGTTCAATATTTGCCAATATTAAAAAAACAAAACAAAAACCTACTTGTGGAACTGGATATTATTTCGAATGATTTGTCGGAAGTGTTAAGTTTCCATATGAGTATCTGTTCACACCGAGCTTACTTTTTAGCAACTTTATCTTCAACTTCCCCCCAAAAAGAAAAAGCTGTCATTGTTTTTGAAATTGTCTCAGCACAAACAGTAGTGTGAGAACGATTTAGTCTGAAATTGGGCAAATTTTAACTTCCGCTTTATAAGATCTGACACTTTTCAGTTCTCTGTGCTTGAGAAATATTTGGGGTGGAGGCTCAGTGTGAAGAGTTCCCATCTTGGGGGTTTTACATAGCACCACCTGTGTTTCAGCTTTATGCACAAAATGTACAATTTTACAAAATGCATGTTTGTCAGCCTGCAGATCGGGGTTTGTGTCAGGACTTGTTTTCCCCTGCTGTTTGTTTTGTCTTTGAAATTTGGCTTTCATTCACTGGTTTAGACATAGCCACTAAAGACTGCTCGATAGGATTTAGCCACTTAAAACGATTTAGTTATGTTTGCTTATTTTTTCAGTTAGCTTTAGAAAAAAGATTGTGGTTTCTGTTAAAACGCACCCTTCACATGTTGGAAGTGACTGGTCAGTGGCCCTGATGACATAAAGCCATGCATCAGACACCAAAGGACACCTTACCTGTAAATAAGAGACACCAGCATAATTTAAACCCTGGGAATCAGAACAGGAATCGATAACCTCTGTAATAGAACAGTCATATACTAGATGACATACGTCAGACATATGAATTTCCCTTTTGGATAAACTTATTCTTATATATGAGGGTAATATAAGAAATCTAAGATCCTTTTTTTTTTTACCATTTAACTAAATTGAGGTTTTTGTTGTTCATTTAAGATAGTTTAATATTTGATGTGATTTTACCTTCTTTGTAATTATGCCCATTATATTTTTTTCTTTCTTTTTATTTTGATTCAAAAGGTTGAGACAGGATCAACTGGTCTGTTATGGATGTATTTTGTGATTCTACCAGAAGGTGGCGCCAAAGTCACGTGTTTTAAATGTACTTACGCGACCGTGGTCATGCAAGAAACGTCTTACTTCTTGTGGGTTTTAAGTTTTGGGGATGTTTAAAAGAACCAGTGGAAGAGTAATCTCTGTCACTGGTAATATAACCCCTGAGTAAAGCTTCTGGGTCAACCCTAACACATTTTTCCTCCCCTTTCTTCTCTAATGTCAGTAAATCGACTCATTTCCCCTCTAAGAGTCATTTAAGGAAGTTACTTGCTCTGATTTTCTTGGGTTCTTTCTTTCCACTTATGAAATGTGTCTGACATCCTGATAACTACGCAGTGGTAAATTAGAGCAAAACAGAAGGAGAATGCATGTGTCGAAGAATATTTTTCTCATCGCTATTTGAAGTACCCTCTCTACTGTGATTTAACATCTCAGCTGTGACACAGTCCAGTGCATACAGTTCATTGATTATTTTCTTATGTAGAAGTCCGGACGTTCACACATTTTATGCAAGCTGTCGACTCTAATGTTGCTTTTGCCAATGCTGCTTGTTAATTTATGATTCATGCCACTGTAAATAAATTATTTTTACTGAACTGAGCTGTGTCTTTGTTTTAATTTCATCCATAAAGTGACTTGTGTGGTCCCAGGGAATCCCAGTCTTTATATACTTTATATTTAACCTTAACACCACAACAAAACGTTAATAAATGTAAGTTATGTGGGATAAATGTGCTTTAAAATGTGGGTGGTGCGTAGCCTCTGCATGATTGATGGATACCCGAAGTACCTTGAAATAGTGCTGACTTATGATCCCTTTCCATGGCCCAAAGACCTTTCTCCTCACCTGTTAATATCCTGGGGAAATTCCCCTTCCCCCGAGCCCCGCACACCCCACTAATCAATGATCAGACACTGTTAAAATGCCACTTTTAAAGTGTCAGTTTTTAGTTTCAGTTTGCAGTTTGTTTATTCTCGTATATATCTGACATGCTGAGGGTAACACAGGAAATAGTTTGGCCGTGCAACTGTGTGACACATCCGGGAATCATGTGGCGTCCAGAGTGGTTCCCTATTTAAGTTCGGACAAGTGAGGAACAGCAAAAATGTCACAACGGCACACACACCCTGCCTTCGTAAGGCTCTTTTGTTTTCTGCACAGGGAAACTTGGAACTGGTCCAGAGACCGGTGCACTCTGTGTGGCCCTTCAAATCTAATCAGGCAGCAGCAGGCACTGCCTTCTGTCCACCAGTATAGATATGAAAACCGCTCCAGCATACCTTCAGATAAATGTTTTTGTCATGAATCTAATATTATGAAATGTGGCTGGCAACAAGTGTGAGAAGTCACGTGGGGCTTGAGTAGATAAAGCCTATAGCATACAGAGGATTACTCAAGGTCATGTGATTCGTGAAAGGTCACCAATTCTATCTGCAGCGTTTTTATGATTGGATTAGAAATATTTTTGTTATTTCCAAATGTCTGAAATTCAAAATGATGATGTAGGGAATGATCCTTAAAAAACACGGCTCCTATAGGATGACATGAGAATATTAAGCAACGACAGGATTTGTATCTGTTTATTCTCTGGTGCTGCCGTTAGATATTTTCTCTTCTAATAATCTAATCTGCTGGTGTTACGTTATGTAAAATGTCCACGCTTTTGTAATACTCCACGTTTTTAGTGTTTGGATTACAAAGGAATTTATGAATTATTGCTCAAGGTCTATTATTTCCTGAATGAAGGCGCATATTCCTGGCTATAATTGGTTGGAATTTTCCATGGGACGTGATCTGGGTCCCTATTGGTGGACCAAGCTGTCAGTCAGGCAGACTGGCTTTGGCTTTGGTTTCTAAGAGCGGCTCGCGAGCGCCAAAGAAGGAAAGAAAAACGCGAAGATGCATCACTCTGCTGTTTCTCCCAGACAGTAAAGTGGAAATGAGCTTTTAAAAGCAGAATTTAAGTTGAATAATTTATGTTGGGTTGTTACAGCGTCCCAGTTAATGCCACAAAAAATATAGCATTTAGCATTTCGTTTTTATTTTTATTTTTTAAAAAGGGGTTACTCGTTGTCTAAGGAGCTTGGAAAGAAAAGCGTCTGGACTTCTTTAAGTTGCTTGAGAATCCTGGAAATAAGTTTGAGAAATGAGGAACACTGGGTTACTCGTTATTTATTTAAAGGTTGTAATATTAAGACAAGTCAGTCAATGAAATAATAATGTTTGGTTGGGTGTGTCCTGATGCTACAACAAACAAACACACTATATCTGAGGTTTTTCATGAAGCATATTTGTTGTTGAATTTCAGTGAAAGGGTCGAGCAATTAATGGCTTCATGGCAATTTTCACTCTTTTTAAGGCCTCCAACAGCCCGACGTGGGCTCAACCCAACAACAGATGAATGGGAAAAAAACATTCCCTGGTCTGATGTATCAGGATTTCTGCTTTTGCTTGGTACAGCACAATTTGACTTTCACAACATGAAAGCATGGATTATTTCTGCCTTGTATTCTTGTATTAATGGTGGTGTTGTAATGATATGTTGGGGGAGGGGCACACTTTTGGCCCCTTAGTATCAACTGAGCATTGTGTAAATGACACAACCTACTAGAATATTGTTGGTGATCATGTCCAACTCACAGTGTACCCATGACCAGATTCAATAGAGCGCCTTTGGGATGTGTTGGAACGGAGATAAGCATTGTTTGGGTGTCTACAAATCAGCAGCAACTGTGTGATGCTATCGTGTCAATTTGAACCAAAAGGATTGTGTCCAGCATCTTTTTTAGCATCTTCCATGCATGAAGAATTAGGAGAACCATAAAGACAGACTCACTGGCCACTCTTTTAGGTACAAGCTGTAAACATTATATAAACTGCAGATCAGCGAAAGGCACAAAACCTTCAAATTTCTGTAACAAAGTAATAATTTGTCATAATGATTTAGATGTAGAAAAACTTAACTTCCTGCGCATTTTCACTGTGACTCACCACACAGGAAGGCTGGATGGATTTCAGTGAAAGGGCTGAGCAATTAATGGCTTCAGGGCAGTTTCGCTCTTTGAAAGGCCAAATGTCAAGTTCTGGGGTCGTTTTGACCCCAGAACTTGACACTTGACCCCACTGCGCTACCGAAACCGCCATGCAGTGACTCACCTCACTAAATGTAGGACCTCTGCAGAGGGGGTGTGTATGATGAGAAAGAGGGCGGTAACCACTGCAGTCCTCCAGTAGTTCCCCTGTCACGGTTATTGACAGTATTACTGGTCGCTGCTTGTAGAAGAGTAAATCTAACATTTTTATTTAACAGGTGACGGGGGCCAAGGAGACAGAGATGGCTGGCGCATCGGCACCAAAGCGACAGGACACCCGGAAATTCTTTGAGAATCTATCCGGCGCTGGTAAATCCATCGCAGTGCTGACCAGCGGCGGAGATGCCCAAGGTAACTTAGTGAGGTTCCATTATCGGACGGCGCTCCTGCCCTAATGAAAATAGATAATTTCGCGTAAAAGTGCTGCCGAGAAAGCACCAGGAGAATAAACTCCTCTCTTAAAATATGCTATCAGACGTGTTTACTGAGGCTGACGTGGTAGTGGCACGCACTGCCAGAGTTAGGCTACTTTAAGTATAAGCGGTTCTTCCCCTAGTCTGGTTGTAGGGTTAATTTTACTCCCTACCTTTTTGTGGAGATTTGGAGAAATATGTTAGCTAGAGGCCTGTCCGACAATGGATGTATCCCCTCCAAGCTTGTCAAAAAGCGTGGTGGTCAATCAAGGTGCATAATTACATGAAAAAATAAATAATGCATTTTATTTGCCTTGTATATATTTATTTTTTCTTGATACCCATTATTTACAAGGTATTAAGCACATCACAGCGACTATTACGCAACAGCTGCCCTGAAACCCTTGTCTTACACATTTTTCCATGGATGCTGCAGTAGACTATTTATAACCGCTTGAGGAGGTATGAAATAGTAGTAGTAATCACGACCTGCTGGAAAAAGATATGCTCGCATTGCAGCAGGGATGAGGGGGGCAGTTTGGAAAGCTGCAACGAAATCAACAAGTGTTCGCGGTAATTAAATAATTGAATCCTCTTACGTGGGGAGTCGCTCTCCTTATCATGCATTCTGCACCACTGCAGAATCTATATGGGCTGTGTTCCTGTATTGATTGCCTGTGTGTCCTGCGTCCCTGTGCGCGTCCAATGGCATACGTATGATTTAAACAGCAGCCCAAAGCTGACAGTGCTATGCACTGTGGTGTGCACTCAGTCAGGTTTCGCCACTGCTTTTGGTGGAAAAGCATAAAGTCCACAGCTCGTGATGGAAATTCTTATTCTTATTCTTATTATTGTTATCATTAAAATCCCCATAATTTATAGGTTCAGGCAAAAGTTGACAACGCCATTAAATGTCATCCTATTTCTTTATATTAACTATGATTTTTGCAACTTCCCCTCATTTTAAAAAAGGGTCATGTTTCAGCAGAAATACACGTATTGCGTCACTGAAGATGAGTCGTGAGGAGGACCACCGTGAAGAAGCCAGACTAAATTACTCGTCTTCCGGCGTAACCTTTCACATTAAAGGGTTTCCCCTCCCCTTTCCGCAGCAGGGCCTTAATTTTGAAAGAGACCTGCAGTGACTTCCTTTGTCCTTGAGTCACTGTAGTCATCCGGAAGTCACGAAGGGTTGAGTCGCCTACGTGAGGGCGAGCTGGTGTGCTGTGATGTGCAATGTGCAAAGGAAACGTAAATAAGTTACTGTTACTGTGTGTGGATGTCATTTTATCCGTAAAATTAGGTTCTATGACGGCAGCCTAATATAAGTGGAACATTTAAAAAAAAAAAAAGGTGAAACAGTGATTTTGGTATTTTTATGTGTCTGATAGCGTCACCATTCATTCATGTGATGTTCCAGAAACAGCACTAGAGTGTATTTATTGGACTTCTATATTTCGATATTGGAGTGTAGTATCGGCTCTATGCGTGCAGTGCAGCAGCAGAGCCATTGTTGCCTTTGAGCCAGGCTGTTACATAACACACGGTGCCTATAGGCTCCTCTATGAGTGGATGAATATTTCGTTTCTCAGTTGTCTCTGCAGCAGAAGGCAGCACATGAGCACCTGTGTAGAATGTAATAGAGCCAGCCTCTGTAGGAACTATGTGTAGGAGCGCATACTGCTGGCAGCAGCTGAGATTTAATTATAACTACACTTGGACATTGTTCCCGGGCGTGAAAATGATGCGCACACAGTCCCACTCACCAGGGTCAAACGATAGCAGGACTAGCTTTTGAATGCCTTTCCTGGAGAATCTCTCTGCAGTGGAAGCCTTTAACAGCCTCGAGTGTCTTTAAGGAGGTTTTTTCCCTGCTTGCCATTGTCACCAAGAATAATTAGGTTTGTTGTGATATAATAATCACATGTGGACAAAGTTTCTGATGTCTATGAGCACTGGTTCCATTTAACATTTCTTCTGAATGTGTATATTTTTACTACCCAGACATTAAAAATTAAAAAATACAAAACAAATACAAACCAAAGAAATGAACTGTAACTGCATGGTACTGTTATAATGTAAGACAGTGTAATGCTAAAGTTTTAAGAATCATTAAAGAGGATCTTTATGCTTTTCCTTATTTCCAGTCAAACCTTCTGTGTTTCAGACAGTGGATGAACTGAGGATCTTCACAAAGGTTCAGATTAAGCCATATAAAGAATATGTAAACTGTAATTGAAGCAAAGCGTTTATAATAGAGACTAAGAAAAAAAACCACAGAGCTAGAAATATGGCTGATAGGCCTCTTTTAGTGTTACTTAATAAAAATCCCCTCTTTCTTAAAAGCAGAAACAATCGGTAGTTTTGTGAAATATTTCAGGCTATTTTTCAGACTTTCATTTAGCAAACTTTACAGTTTTCTGAACCCACAGGAACATCGGTGCTTCATGTGCAATGACAAATTTTTGCCAAGGCAGATTTCCCGACCGCTGCGGAGAATACATGCCCAGACTGAGCTGGAGGCGTTTAGTCATTGCAGCAGTCTGGGAGGAAATACTAACAGCATTTCATGATTTGTGATTTAATCCAAGAGCTCAGCTGGGACACGACACACACACTCACACACACATACATGAGATGATAAATGAGATGTACTCACGGTCGCTGATCGCTCTTATCTGTCTGTGAAATCCTTATTATTTTTTTCTTTCTAATTTTGTAAAACTCAATTATAATTTTACTCATTTGCCAGGTCCCCTCTGACCAATCAGCACTTTGCAGGTCTTTTAGCAACACTAGCTCCAACACAAAAAGAAACACAGTATGGAGGCCTGGATGTGGTTTCAGCCTGTTCAGTGTTTGCTAACGAGTGCTGACAGCACGGTGACTCCCCCACCCAACCCCCACCCAACCCCCACCCCTTAGTGCATTTGTCTTAGATGTCACCTGCCTTATAATGCCGTTGCTACTTCCTCTAGGTCAGCAGGAGTAGTTTTGGTAAAGGGCAAGATAATTAATTATTTTACATAAAAGAGGTAGTTAATGATCATAAATAAGAGAAGTGGGGAAAACAAAAACAAAGATTAGAAAAGAGATATTTTTAGTCTCTTATCAGAAAATTGCAGGCAGCTATTGATTTATTGAGTCAGCCACTGACAGAAAAGTGAGTTTATGAATATTTGGATCATAAGAAACCCTTGAAAACCCCTCATTAATACAAACAGTCCTTGTCTGAATTCCTGCATATGATAGTTTTGAGATATAGTATTTTTATACATTATTAATACGTTTATTTTATTAGTTTGCTTTGTTTACCAAATTATATTTGAACATTCATCAAACACAAAATGATGTGACTTGAGAGATCGATATTAGCCACTGACACTGACACTGTTATCTTATTTGCTAATAGCCTGATATCAGTCAACAAGGCTGATGTCAGCCTGTTCATCAGTGCTTCTCTATCTAAAGCTGATTGCCCATGCAGTGGCTGCCACTTAAACCATTATTTCTGTCTGTTGCAATCATTGCAAGGTAAACAGAAAACTTTGTTTATAGTTATCTGCAAAAAATGTATGATTGCACACATTTGACTGATTGCAATGCCTTTCCAGAAGAGTTCATGTTCAACTTTGTTTCCCCCAGCTAAGCCTTTGTTGTTTCGCTCTGGCCCTTTGCCATGGCCCTGTTGGCTCTGCCAAGCTTAGTGAATTGAGCTCTTGTAGTAATGCCAAAATCGTGACATAGTCATCCAAGGAGTAGACCCATCCCATACGCATTCTGCAGACAAGGGCCAGTAAAAGGGATGGGTTGTTTACTCCATGTGGTGTGGGAAGAAATTTGGCGAGGTGGTTAAGTTGGCAGAGCGTGCTAGCTTGTGCTTGCTGGGCTAAATTCTGGGATGCATGCAATGCCTCACCAAACTGGGCTCACTGAGATCTAACATGCTCGTCATTCCAATGCTTTTCCATAAATGGCTAATTAATTCTTTATCCCTATTTTGAAGTTTTAAAGTGACCTTTTCTTTTTTACCAGTCATCTATGTTCTCTGTGCTCTTTATTAATTGCTATGCACTGACCCTATTAGATTGATTGACTAGCTGATGGAAAGAAGAAATAATCAATAGCAATTCCAATAATGATTCAGCCACTTCACGTGTTAATGGCATAAAAAGCCAAGAGTCAGCTGATTCAGCGTCTTGTTGATTGGATGTCTTTTTCAGAATAACTTAAAACTGTTTATTATTAAGATAAGATAAGATAATTGTAAATTACCCATTTCTGAGACAAATAAAGTCTATCTTAGCTTATCTTACCTTTAATTTGGTAAATAATCAGTTCACTGATAAGTCAAAATTCAAAGATGAAACAGTGGAAGATGTATTTGTTATTTTCAGCCCAGGCTGATACGTAGAGCTTGTTTCTTTTTTTCAGGTTCTCTTATTACACCTAGCGTTAGGATCATTAAAGTTTTATTACAGCTCTTATTCTGTATGCAGGTTGCGACAGAATCAAAGTAACATCAATACCACCTTCATTTCTTCTCTCAGCGTTTTTACACATCAGATATTTCTCGTCATCGTCCTTTTATGGGAGTCTTCGGTGATGTAAAACTGCACCTTCACTGTGACACCAGACTTAGCTCAAGGTTTATGTTTTGTTCTGTCTCTAATTTCACTAAGTGCTCTTTCAGACCCTTCTATGTTTTAACACAAAATCCTCAGAGGGATTCTCACTTGCAGTCTCCTCTCCCTGTCTCCCTGTTTTTTCGATCGCGTTTACCGCTCCTGTTATCTGCTGGTCTGTCTAGCTTTCTGCCACGCCCTGTTTGTGCTGCTGCTTATACAATCACATTTATGGAAACATCATTTATTTAGTTCACTGACAGATCTAATTTCTTAAATGTCAAAAGCACCTTAGAATAAGACCGACATTAACTACTTTCTACCTCCAGTTTCTGTGTCTCCCACATCCTCTGAAAAGGTCAAACTGCTGCTAGTCGCTGCGCTGCAGTTTTAATAAACATGGCGGTTCTTCATTAGCTGACACCAAAAATATCTTTAAGACCAATTTGTCAGCATGAAAAAGAACCTGGGTAGGCTCGCAGTTTACCGCAGACGGACATGGTTAATTTCCCAACCTGTCAAACATGATATGTGAGAAACACTGTTTGTTTCTGTATCAACCCCAAACTCTTTTTTTCTCTATTTCCAGGTATGAATGCAGCTGTCCGGGCTGCCGTGCGGATGGGCATCTATGTGGGAGCAAAGGTCTACTTCATCCATGAGGTGAGGCATGACTCAGGCTTTAGACGTAGCCTCAGGAGAGTCTGCAGTGTCTGTCACATCACACGGTGAACTAAATTAGAACTGACGAGTCTTTTTTATCGAGCTGTGATTGTCTGTGATACAGCCAGCAGGACTCAAGACTGCATGTTGCTCTGCTTTTGTAACTGAATTTGACCTTAAGGAGTCATTCAGGTGGCTGCAAAGTCTCAAAACTGAAAATGTGAATTTCATTGTTTTATTTTTCTATTGAGGTTAAATGCATCGTATCTACAGGGTTGCATAGATGTAATCTTTGGTGTAAATTCACCACATTGTGTCAAATCAGGTTTATGAAGAGAAACGCAAACATGCCACAGACAAGTCATTGTGCTGTTACTGCCTGTTGTTGCAAAACAAATTATATTTTGTTCACTCAAATTCACCCAAGTGCAGCTGCAAAAACCTCTGTACACATAAAAATCAAAAACTGCACAGTGTTGGCAGCCCACCACTTCATTTTCGTCTCCTTAAGCTGTTCTGTGAAAGCTGTTCCGTTCCAACAGATTTAAGCATTTCTCACCTCACTTCATGCTGTTTAGGTGCTATTTTGAAAAGATTACCTTAAATCAGCCACACTGACTACAGTCATTGTTTATGGCTCTGGTCGTTAAGCCTTTGTTTTTCAGTCATTAAGATCTCCCCATTAATCCCTTTACAGGTAGTGACCTTGTTTTTGTCTTTTTGGCCTCCACACTTGTCACACTAACCCTTGGAGTGTCTGTGTGTGAACATTTGATTGAAGTGGAGTGTATTGACACTTAAAACTGTGTCCACATGGAAATTTGAACCCACTATGGGCTCGTTTTGTGTTTTTAACCTACTGGAAGCAAGGGCATGGATTTGGATACAGTATGTACTCTGACCAGCTCCAACATAAAACCACTGGATCATAAATTTTCTACTGTAAAACCTTGAGCTCTGGCATTCATGTGAATTTTACTTTGACAAGTGCCGCCTACTGTTTGGGTTCTATCACAGATCACACCTACTGTAATAGTATTTGAACTTAAACGTGCTGCCGATGGAAATAATGATTTTATAGTGATAGTAACTGTAGTAACTCCTTCTTTCCTGAGTCTCTCAAAGTCATCAATATTGAATGCCTGAGGATGTACAGTATGTGCAATTTTAACTGGACATGATGCCATGAACGACGGGGGCAGACAGACGTGATCTGGTCTCAGTGTAGATATAATTGGATTACAAAGGGCAGGCTTCATCCTTCACTTGCCGCACTGTCGTGTCCCCATCAGCTTCAAATAACCACTGGGCTGTGAGTAATAACAGCTGAGTGCCACAGTGCTTTTATTTTGGTTTGGGACCATCGCCTCGCAGTTTTAATCCCTGAACACAACACAGCAGTTCCCTAAAAAGCTCAACCTGACCCACAGGGTTGTCTTCAAGTTCCTATTGAGTTTTGGTTCAATTTAAAAATACCGAGCTCTGTTCTTCATTTGTCAGTTAAAAAATAAAATTTTTTTCAGCTTTTGCCAAGTTATCAACAATCCGGTGAATGTCTGTCACACTGATTGCTCTTCTCAGGGTTACCAGGGGATGGTGGACGGTGGAGACAACATCAAAGAGGCGAAGTGGGAAAGCGTCTCCAGCATGCTGCAAGTGGTGAGCAGATCAGTGTTCAGCTCACACACACCGCACATTTCTTCTTAATGGGCTGTAAACAGTGAAACAAACTCAGTCTGCTTTGAGAAAAATACTGTGTGTTGTAAATACTGTAGACATTTTAGCATCATTAAAAGTGTTTGGTAAGAAAACCTTTGTAGTACTTATGCTGGTACGTGTTGTCATAGTGGACATGAGTGACTTTTACTCAAAGGGACACAGGCAATAATACTTTTAGCTTGCAGCTTGATGATACTGAAGTTCAATTAGACCTTTTCACTGATGAGTGAACAGTAGGGATAAAAGATCTCGTAGGTCAGCGATACTGGAAAAAATACAGTCTAAGAGGACACAATGTCCTACAAAGAAGCCAAAAGAATCTGTAAAAAATTTAAAAAAATGAAGAAAATCATGACAGGTTATTGTAATGTTTGTTTACTTTAGGGTGGAACTGTCATCGGGAGTGCCCGCTGCAAAGATTTCCGTACCCATGAGGGCCGCCTGAAAGCTGCACACAACCTTGTGCAGCGTGACATCACCAACCTGTGTGTGATTGGTGGAGACGGAAGCTTGACTGGGGCCAACCTGTTCAGGGAGGAATGGAGCAGCCTGTTGGAGGAGCTCCTGCAGCAAGGTGACTCCTCACAACAGGAGGTTTTGTTTTTAACTTTAACACCAGGCTTCCCTGCTTTTACAAGTTTAAAGGGAAACTTTCTCCCTCCTTGTTTTTTGTTTAGGTTTGATCGATGAGGAAGCGACCCAGAGAAACTCCGAGCTCCACATTGTCGGTATGGTTGGCTCCATCGACAACGACTTCTGCGGCACTGACATGACCATTGGCACTGACTCGGCCCTGCATCGGATCATTGAGGTGGTGGACGCCATCATGACCACTGCCCAGAGGTGAACAATTTCTTTTTTATATGCTTCAGTGTAGGATAAAAGTTGGAGTTCCCCCTCTACTATTTTTTATTTTTTATTCCTATTTATTCTATTTATCCCCTTTGTATATTTTATTTATATTGTCTCTGTATTTATATATGTGTGTGTGTATATATATATATATATATATAATATTCTGTAACTCTGTAACTTCTGTCGGTGCTGTGCTTTTTTGGAAATCGAATTTCCCAGAGGAACCCACCCGAGGGATTAATAAAGTTCTATCTAATCTAATCTAATCTAATCTAATCTACTGAACAAATTTAGATCAACCCACTGAGTTTCAGCATAAATGCTCTTCTTTGGTTTGTTTTTGACATTATTTCTGGGGTTTTTTTATAGCCACCAGAGGACGTTTGTCCTGGAGGTCATGGGGAGACACTGCGGGTAGGCATCTTTTATTCCACACACACATATACATAATATTGCGTGACATCCACTTAGTCTTAGTGGCCACAAAATCATATGCTTGTAATCAAATTCTTTAGAAAGCATATTTAAGACTTTGAAAATGTCGAATGATAAATGTGGAATGTTCAAATACCGACAAGTGAGTCAGACTCCAGCTAAAATGTCAAAGTAGTATTTTATGCAGATACATTGTATGAACCATGGTCCAGAAAATTTAGCATTGACAACAGGCGAAAAATCGACTCTGTTCGGAATCAAACCCACAACCTTTGAATTGCATCGCACGTGGTTGACTGGAAGTCCAATGGGCTGTCCATTATGCCACAGAGCCTGCTGTTTAGGCCTACTGATAAGGCTAGTGAGTGGAGTGCATTCTGGCTTTAGTGAGATTTCTGTGTAGCAAGAGACTAAAAGAACTGTCTTTAGTGAGAGCTGAAATGTATGATTTTATAAATTGTGTATGTGTGCAGATATCTGGCCCTGGTCAGCGCCCTGGCATGTGGAGCAGACTGGGTTTTTATCCCAGAAATGCCTCCTGAAGATGGATGGGAAGACAACATGTGTCAGAAACTGTCCGAGGTGACAAACACACACATACACACACACTGTTTTCACTGTAGTAGCTTATGTTTTAATTAGAGTGGATAGTTTTCTGTCTTTGGCTAGGAGGACAGAAGTAATTTAGCTAAGCAAGTTTATAATAAATAGAGATGGCACGATACCACTTTCTTATGTCCGATACCGATACCGATATCATAAATTTGGATATCTGCCGATACCGATATGAATCCGATATAGTGTTTTTTAATCAACAAAACTGTTTTTTTAAAATATCTTGCTGCATTTTGCAAGTCTGCAAGTTCATACTCAAGTTTAAAACAACAACTACACTAAAGCTATTCTGTTATACCTG